ACAATTTAGCAGTTGTTCTGCTGAACGCGGCCATTAGTTGGGCAAAGTTACTAGATTTTCTACTGAATGACGCTGTTGATTTGTTAGCTTTAAAAGTAACCAATTACGTTCAATTGCTACTGAGCGGTTTGTTACACTCACTGAACTCTAAACAAACCGAAAAGCGCCGTGCTGCTCAAGATGCGGTCAGACAAAGAGAGCATTCAGATTATTTTGTCTCTTTCTGTGTAGGCTCTCTTCACTGAATTCTGTACATGTGTATACTCATGTATATTCTATCATATTATATATAAAAAATGGAGGCTTCCGATAAGCTTGCGAAGAAAAGAGACAAAACAATCTCATTGCCTCTCTTTGTCTGACCGTTCGCTTAAGACCAATGTCCACGATAGTAGAAATCGGTCCGAGATCTCGATTCAAGAAATGTATAACCAATCACCTTGCAGTTTTTATGGAAAAACGGCATTTTTATTTTGGCTACATGTTTCTCGGATCGAAATCTCGGATCGATTTCTAGCATCGTAGACATTGGTCTTTTACGCCATGCTTATATGGAAAGACGCTTTTTGGTTTTGTATTGAGTTCAGTGGATCGCATGCAACCTAGTAAATTACTAAAAATGCTGTATGCTATATGGTGCATTTCTAGTACTAGTTCTTTTATTAGTTCGCATACAATTTAGCATGAAAAATCACGCCGTGTGTCGTAAATTTAATGCGATTGCATTTACTCTGTCGCGCGGTCGTGATTGCAGTCACCATTGCTCACGCAAACGTCGAGACCATAGTGTTTATTAGGGAGTACGCAGCCCTTTGAACCACAAGCCGGCCGGGAGGGCACCACGCATGAATACGACGTGACGTCATCGCGCCAGCGCTCGGCATTCGGCCATTTTGTGTGAATGAGCGCTCTCCGCTCTCACGGGGTTCTGTGTTGCAAGACTCTCGACCAGTGGCGAGAAAACCGAATGATTTAGTTTCGCGTTAGAGGTACTCGTTTGTGGACGGATTACATGCGATTATAAGAGTGCACAGGATTATTACGTGTGAATTTCCGTGCAAGCTCGGAACAGGTACGATGGAGGAAAAGGCGTCGCTCAAGGAACTCGACCAGTGGGTAGAACAATTAAATGACTGCAAACAACTGACAGAAAGCCAAGTGAAAACCCTCTGCGATAAGGTATCCTATTGTCTCGTCAAATCGATTTCGCACGATTCGGCCGACTCCGCGGCTGCGGAATTTCGCGATGATCGCGTCACAGCTCACGTTAATTTGCGCACGATTATCGCGTGCTGTTCGAATAGCGACACCGTGTGTATCGTTTCGACGTCTGCTGTCTTACACTACTGTTAAACGGAGCCTGTCGATCTGTCATGCATATTTCATTAGAATACTCGTGTTAATGAGAATTGTCACTAAGTTTCTCGTTGCCCTTGGATTTCCCGCAATCATTAATTTTACTTGTGCTGATGACGTTTGATCTTACGTTTGGAAGCTACGCTTTTTTTTAAAGCAACGAAGTTTACGGTTGTTAGTTGACGAAGGGAGAGATTTCATTTCTTGAGTCGTTTTAAACCTGTTAACATAATTCTGCAACAGGTGCATACTTTGCCACTGTTATTGCAACCAATTTGTACAGTTGTATCTTGTTTTTAGATGTATATCATTTTACAATTTGTGTATGAGCTAAATCGTTTTAAGATAACAGCAGGATGTATATATTAATATCAGTCACAGCATCTGTCACTCGTTCTTATCTCACTTTGATATGAGTATGCCATTTAATGATAAAGAATTGTTTGTTCATTGTGAGTCATTTAATTTCTTGCAAACTCTTCTGGGATATTCCGTCATCATGTTTTCTAAACTATCATGAGGAAAATTTCCTTACCAGATAAAGTATTAATTAAGATTTGGATATTCAGGAAATTGTAAATTTGTATTTATTTTATCGACATTATAAAAAGTTGTATAATACGAATAGCTTCTCGTGAAAAGAATTATTTGGAGAATAATTTATCTGATTATTTTAGAACGTATTTCAGTTTCTAAATCTTAACGGTAAACACATTGAGCTAAATGAAATAAGTATTTTTGAATGAACTATATTTAGACCTATGAAGATGGTATTATAGCTGCAATGTGTTTTACAATAATGCATTACTGCGTCGCGTCTGTGTATTATGCCAATTGGCCAAGGCATCTGGTTTTCTAAATGTGTTACTAATTGTATCTGTAATTGGCAGCTAAACGTCCATTTGTTGGGAGAAATTTGTTTTCTTGTTTTAAGAAATATTTGCTGATCTTACAACAAGATCATAATTACAATTTAAAATAGAAATATAATAAATTTGATATTTTTCTCATCACATTAATATGTTTACATGTTATTTTACACATTTGTAAAAATTATTATAAAACATTGTAATAGAAAGTGCGAATGTTTTATTATTTTGTGCTTATAAGTTAATTTGCTCAATTTTTTATTTGTAATCTTTCTAGCACTGTTAGGAAGAATATCTTATAATATTTAAAATTTTCAGGCAAAAGAAATCTTAGCTAAGGAATCGAATGTACAAGAAGTAAAATGTCCTGTAACTGTATGTGGAGATGTGCACGGTCAATTCCACGACTTAATGGAATTGTTCAGAATAGGTGGCAAATCACCAGATACAAATTATCTTTTTATGGGTGATTATGTTGATCGTGGCTATTATTCGGTTGAAACTGTCACTCTGCTCGTAGCTCTTAAGGTATAGTGCAACATATTTATACGAATTATAATAAATCTCACTCTCTCTGTGTTTAATATTTATTTTTTTATTCCTTACACACACATTAAATTTAATTTTTCTTTCCTTTTATTTTACAAATTTATAGGTGAGGTACCGAGAAAGAATAACCATTTTACGAGGTAATCACGAGTCGAGGCAAATTACACAAGTGTATGGATTTTACGATGAGTGTTTACGTAAATACGGGAATGCCAATGTATGGAAATTCTTTACGGACCTATTCGATTATTTACCACTAACCGCGCTGGTCGATGGCCAAATATTTTGTTTGCATGGTGGTCTGTCGCCGTCGATCGATACTTTAGATCACATACGTGCTCTAGATCGTCTTCAGGAAGTGCCACATGAAGTTAGTATTTATTTATATAATTTCTATATAATAAATTCTGTTGCAGTTTCATTACTAAAATCGTCTGTTATTTGAAACAGGGTCCTATGTGCGATTTATTGTGGTCAGATCCTGATGATAGAGGAGGATGGGGTATTTCACCTCGTGGAGCGGGGTATACTTTTGGTCAAGATATTTCAGAAACGTTTAACCACTCCAATGGATTAACACTTGTGTCACGAGCACATCAGTTGGTTATGGAAGGTTACAATTGGTACGAGCATTGATAACCACTAATAAAATGTTTGGCTATGTTTTTTTCCTTTTTTTTTTACATGCAATTTGACTATTTTACTTATAATGTTCCATTGCTTCAGGTGTCACGATCGTAATGTTGTGACTATATTCTCTGCACCTAATTACTGCTACCGTTGCGGAAATCAAGCTGCAATTATGGAACTGGATGATGCTTTAAAATATTCATTGTGAGTATGAGTTTGATACATGTATATCTAATTACGTGAGTTTTTTTTTTTTTATTATATCACGTTTTCTATTATCGAACTGAAAAATGTAATATAAATGAAAGTATGATTGTTAATCTTCTCTTAATTCTTACAGCCTACAATTTGACCCAGCACCAAGACGTGGAGAACCACATGTTACCAGGCGAACGCCAGACTACTTCCTATAAAGGATTAGGCTTTCAGAGCGAGGTGTCAAGGTAGGGGAATGGAAACGCGATCCTGACTTTATAGTGACACCAGACAACATAACTTATAATAGAACATCGCTAAATAAGTGTAAGGCTCGAACAAGTCTTTGCATACCACATATAGGCCCAAGTATTATATCACGGCTCATTTTGTGGTGTCATTGAGAGATAGAATAGATTACACGCACGTTTTGTGCGTGCCTTACACGATACATGTAGACACATTACTTGTACACTAAAAAGGAAAAAAAGGAATACAATAATGTACACACGTATCGATTAAATTCACCTGTAGCATTGAGTTTTACAAACTTTTATTATATCTGCTTGTATTTTTATTATAAGGAAATTAAATATAACAATGCACACATTTGCGCGTAATAAATAGAACGAAAAATATCGGTAAAATGGTATTGTTTTTGTAATCTTGAATGAGAATATTAAAACTCGTCGAGAGAAATTTGTATAATGAAATAACATTTTATGTATTCTAAATTATTGCGCATTTCTAAACAAAATTAATTGTCATGCAAGGTTCCAAAAGAAATATACCACAATGGTCATAATTTATATTTAAGAGAGTGTCACATTATTATTGGTGTGAATGGAGTATGAAACGCGTTCCACTTGAAGGAAATATATAAGGTGAATTGATGCACCAGTGAATTGGCATGTATAAACTGTGCTATATAAGGATTCGATAAAGATTATTTTCAAGTAAAGAATTATCAAAGAGTTTAATGTGATATATTGTATAATGGATTTCTCAGAATCGTAATGAGCAATAGTTTCGTTAGAATTAGTCATTTTTAATTTTACGCAATATTCATAATTTCTAAATAAAATAAACGTTTTTATCTAAATGATATAGAAATCTTTAAAGTGCAAGTGTAACGTTGCTGTTTTATATTATTATATAACATTATTTTCGCGAAATAATACACACATTTGCATAATAAATAGATAATCTACATCGGTCTTTAATCGTTTTATTTTACTTTTTTATTAGCTATTGCTTTCTTATATCATAAGTTTGCTTTATAAACTGTGTTAAAGATCTAAGTTATATATTGCACTAGTTAATGATTGACAATTCTCAAGAAACGTGAAGAACACTATTGCATCAATTCTATCTGCCTTCTAAAGTGAGACTTTATACCAAGATACCAAGTGAATTTATGCATTCAGATAGTTGAATTAAAAGGAAAAAAAAATTGATTGCTTGTAAACCTATCGACGATCTTTTTACTAATTAATAGATATAAAATAATGCTTCTGGTAAATAAACATGTGTAATGCAAGTTAAAGCAATCCCTAGTGTGTTGTGTCAAATTTCATATTCGTTGAAAGCAGGAGCATTGTGTACAATAAGCGGCTAAAAAAAAATATACGAATGTATTTATAAGAGTAAGCATTGCAATTTGAATATAACGCATAAACGAAGCAATTACAGTAGTGACGACGACGGTTGAAGCGAAATGTGTTAGATACACATTATAGCAATTTATGAAGACTGTAAATGCATACACAGCACAGGATGCAGCGTGGAGATAACGCGATCCTCCTTCTGCACAACTGCAGACTGAGCATTTTTTCGTTCTTTTTTTTCTCTTTTTTTCTTCTTTTCTTTTCTTCGTTTTCTATCATACAATAACGCGTATATACATTCTCTCTTGATTACAATATTAAGAATAAATTTTCCTATAGAACAAAAATGCACTTGTAGTATTATAATACGACAAAGTTTGATTAAAGGTATGGCGAAGGAATATAGGTACCAGCAACCATATAGTTAATTATATATCTGTTCTATTTATTGCCCTTTCACTGCATACCGATTTTCGCATACAATGGATAAAATTAATACGTTTTATTGAATGCGTTATTCCGTCAAAAACTTATATAGTACATAGATATTATTCATTTTGATTTCATAGTGGCGTGGGAAGTACGGGAAAGATATTATATACTTAAAAACTCATTTATAACATTGAGTATTTTTCGTTAATCTGAATTTTGAAAATACATTTACGTAAACTATATATATAATAATAACCTTAGCTATTTGAAAAATTAGAGTTTTATTTTAGATTTAACTCTATAAAAATTGATATGTCGTTAATTCAAACATTATAATATGAGACAAATTTTGTATATTCAAATAAGCTAAAAATTTTTTGTGATAACTTTTATAATTTTTTAACTTATCTGAAATAATATATAAATCGAATATACACAATGGTAAATATAGAATTGGACTATTGTAAGCATACAATATCTTTTTAATCTTTACGTGACACAAGCTTTTATTTGGATATTTTAACTTAGCTTGCAAAATCTGGCGTGAAATAAGCCCAGATTTGTGAAAAGGAACAGAAAAATGCCATGAACGTATAATTATGTCATCTTATTATAAGGAATTAGAGAAATAAAGAGATATTATCACACACACATATATAGATAGTTTTGTTTGTGCTCTACATATATTTCTCAACAAAATGCATGTTTGTTTCAGAATAATATATGCAATAATTTTCTTTAGAGTAAATAAGAAATTTATATGAAAGAAACTTAAAGCATCAATTCTTCACTTATTATTGAATATATTATACATTTATTTAAACTCTTATTAGCTTTGTTTAGTTAATAATAAACTACTCAAAGTAAAATGTTTAAAGTATTTATTTGTATTAAGAGATTTTATCCTTTCCATTTCATAATAGATTCAATATTTTTATAAAAATAATATAATACATTGTTTTAACATTATAACTCACTTATTCTTAAGTAAACAAGTTATATGAACTAATACATTTGTGTACATTAGTTCATTTGTTCATCATTCTGCATTTTTTAATCACAACCAGAACCATATAAATTATATTTTAATTTTTTATAAGAGTATATATAAATAAAATGTATCAAAAATAGCCATTTATATTTTACCTAAAATTAGAGTCTTATTCCTGTGTCTAAATCGAGCATTTGCTTCATCACTTCGTATGTTGCAAAACCAACTGCTACAAAAGGTACTGCTCGTAAGAAATTTACACTCATTCCACGATATAAACCTTTTACAATACCGTCTTCGATATATATCATCTTAATAGTATACCACATTCCCAACCTGAGAGAAAACAATTTTATGTGGATTAATATTTAAATAAATATTAATAATTTCTGAACTTATAAATTGAGAAGAATAATAAAAAATACAGCGTATTAAAAAAGCAATGCGAAATATATAAAATGTTTGCATACATTATTGCTGTATTACTTACGCGTACTTATGTGTAGTTGGATTCATCATGGCCAACTGCATACGTCTCTTCGTAACATCTAATGGATAAGAGAAAGTGTGCGCTACAGCACCGGCAGCACCTCCACATAGAAGTTTCGCTGGTACATTCAATATAAGACCACCTATAATAATGAGATATATGATATTACTATCATTATTTGATTTGATCCAACTTTAATAATGCAGATTTTTTTATATATATATATGTATTGTATTAATTGTAATTAAAAAAAAATTTTTGATAGATTTAATAGAGTTAAAATAACAGATTTTATTTATTAATCTATCAAAAATGAAAGCAACATAAAAAAAATTTATGCAAAGAGTGTAAGTTAAAATTACTGCAATAATTAATAATAATAATCAGTACAGAAAAGATGAGAAGTGAGAAATATATTATATAAATTAGAATAATTTTGAATTGCAGCTTTCTATTATATATATCACAGCTTTGTGCAATTCAAGAAATGAAAGATCTTATTTACCTGTATTTGTCTTATGCTCAGAACAAAAATAATGTGGCGCAGATTTCATACATAGATATTTTAACTTATCAAATGTATAGAAGGAAAATCCTGCGTATGGTATCATTCCCAACATATTTGACCAGAATCCTCTGTATAATGCTCGAAGACCACCTTCCTGAAACAATATATATATATATATATAGTAATAATAATATATAATGCTTTTTAATAACAAACCTAACAATATATTAACATAATTTACCTCTTTAAACATCGTAACAGCAGCATGTCTAATCCCAGAATAAAGTGTATTACTGGTAACTTGAAAAGCTAGTCGCGCTCTGATTGTGTCAAGTGGATATGTAATTCCTGCTGCTGTAACACCTCCAGCAGCTCCAGCTAAGAATCCATCTAAATGTGAACCTTGCCCAAACAGTCCTCCTAAATGCTAATAGAAAATGCACAAATATTAATATAAGCTATAATATAGCCAGAATAAAACAAATATCAATTTATAATAATTATTATATAATAATAAATTAAATCTTTTTATCACCTTTTTATATTGTTCAAATGCTGTAAATTGTGTTGCTGCATAAGGGATGGTTCTAATCATTTGAACAAAGTTGCCTTTATATAAAGCAAGGAAATTTTCACGTCTGACAACTTCTCTTAATCCTGAGAAGACACCTGCATAAAATGATACATATTTATCAAACTACATAAACTCAATAAAATATTTTGCATTGTTACTATCTATTTATTTCATTGAAATGATGACAATTTTTACCCAAATGTTTATAATGTGTATGTTGTGCTTGCAACAAAATTTTCACTCTATCCAATGGTGCCACGACTGTTTTTGAGCATATACCAGCAACACCTATAATTTATGTATTGATATTTACTGTATAATTACTAATTTATACATTTCATAAATGTCAAAAAGAGGGTGTCTCAAATAATCTACCGTATTAACTGTTAACGGCAGGTCTCGGATGATATCTGGGAACAAAAATTGTAATATCAAAATATCAATGCTGTAATATTTTTTAAAATAAGCCTTTCAAGATGGCCCATCAAATTATTGAAGATCAAATACTTAAGCAACCTTATTATGAATTCTGTTTGACAATTTGAAACATGTGTATGCATATGTGCATACATTGTGTGTGTGTATATATACACATACGTACACATATAGTATGTATATGTGTAAAAATTATATATATATATATATACATATACATATACATATATATATATACATATATGTATATATATATATATACACACTCATAATATATACATAAAGATTATTTTTCTAAATGGAAAAAAAATATGGTACACATTGTTATTTTTACTTTCATGAATTTTTTTGTAAAAGCAAAATAAATTCAATAACTTGCAGTAATTTTATATAAATCCAAGATCACAGATGATGTAACTTCACAGTATTATTTTTTTAAAACTATTCTTTGAGATTTCACATTCTAAATACAAAATTTCGTTTGACATCACTTCTCTTTAATTCTTTCAATTTACAAAACACGTTTCCAAATCCTTATTAAAATTTATAAATTAAAAAGTATTTTCAAATTATTTTTAAAAATTATTAAAATCAAAATTATGATATCTGAAGAATTCCAAACGACTCACCGCCAGCTAGAAGATTTTTTATGATGATTTCGAAATTCGCGGCTTTCTTTTTGGACTGGGCCATAATTAGATAATGTTAGAAGCAAATCGTAGATTCGAACCATCCAAGGAAAACACGAGAAATTTGTTACAAAATCCTGTTCTGTGATTCCAGATGGAGGGACTTTTTCCAACGCTTGGCGATCCCCACCCAACCGTAGTGGTTCATGTCTGTTTTAATGAACTTTGTTTGAGGATATCAGTCCCGTTTGCCTTGTATAATTTTGGTCAGTTTAAGAAAAAGCGGGAATGGTCGTTGACCTTGTCTGATCTTTTCATTCACACGAAGAAAATTTAACGAAAAATTTATCTTAAAATGTACGATTTTGTGTTCCGAAACTCATCAAATTAGTTTAGATTGGTGATTTTCCAGCAAGAAATACAGGGCTGCGTTCCAAAACTTCACTCTGGGAGCTTTCCATCTAAAGGCCATCACACACAAAATGACATAACTGCATATGCATAGCATAAGACCGTCTCGACCAATGAGCATGCTATGTAAATCAATATGGTGCCTTTATGCTAGATGTTCATTGGTCGAGATGGTCTTATGCTATGCATATGCAGTTAAGTCATTTTGTGTGTGATGGCCTTTACTGTTGCATTAAGTATAACCTATACGTCAAATTTCGTGTAGGTTTCATGTTAAAATTGTTCACGTTTTATTTATTTATATAATTAAAGAATCGCAAATCATGGCTTCAGACGATTCGTGGAAGACACAAAAACTTTTCGACAGAATGTTATCACGAAAATGTAAGTTGAATCATCTAAAAAGTAAAAGCATTATTTAATGTAATTAGCAGTAAATAGCAGTAAATAGCAGTATTAGTTTAATGAGTGATATAAGAGTTATGTAAATGTATATTTTATATATTACTAGGGCATATATATGCGCGCCTTTCTTTTTTTCCTTTTTCTGTTTCTTTTTTTCAACACTTTAAACTTATCAAAGCTATTGAATTAAAACTGTCGAAATACAAATTGGCAAACACATTCATTCATGACAATCAATTTTATATATTATATATTGAGCACCTCAAAGATAGAATCTAAGAGATTTTTTGCTTTTAAGTCACATTTTTTTTCAAAAATTGAGTTATAAGATTCTATACTCAAATTTCTACCTAAGGACAAATGATTTCAATAAAATAAAGATGTGACTGTATAAAGTTAAGTCGCAATGCATTCACCACGTAAAGAATATTAAGTCACATCAAAATCATATTCCGTAATCACAACAACTTTATTTTCTGAAACATCAAAGTTTGATATGGTTGCAATAAGTTGATACAAAAGTATTATTTTCTCTGTTGCTCAGTGGATAATCGAACAAAGACAGAGTGATACTTGTGTCGGTTGTGTCGATTTGTGTTTCTTGGTGAAAAACTACGTATATCTGTGAACAGAATATAAAAAAATCTACAAAGATTATAAATATTTTACTGAAAGCATATTAAATGCGAAAAATCTCTTTAGATTCTTCTCCTAAAAAATGATGTTTATGTGACTTAACATTTACCTTTGAGGTGCTCATATATATGTTTTATTTTTTTATTTGTACAAAGCAATATATCAGCTTTTTATGCATGTAAAGTTATAACAGGTTTGTTTATTTTTAACTGAGTTTTCCAACAGTTTCATATGCAGTAAATTAAGGAAGTATAATTATAAATATCTTTACGACAGAGATGAAGCTATACAGATGCCTGGGATGCCCACAACAATGAAGAGCGTTGAAATGGAGAATTATATCTTTCAAAACGCAAAATCTAAGGTTTGTAAATTTTATTAAAAATGAAATGAAATTTACAATAATATTACTTATATTTATTTATTTTTGCTATTGTAATTAATTTAGATATTTTTTGCATTTTTTTGGATGTACTGATCAATTAGAAATTTTTTAATAAGATCAATATAGCAGTGAATATTTTAAACCTATTATCTATATTACCTATTACTCTTATTTAGTTTAGAGAGAGTATAATCACTCAATATATTGCCTTCGACAAATCTTCTAGCGTTACTAATTTTTTTTTTTTTCTTGCAGGAAGAATATTTCGGATTTATCGCCAGATTAATTCTTCACGTCAGAGAAATAAGTAATGTTCCTTAAAGTTTTACACCCAGTATTGCTCAATTCTTTTTTAATTTTTTCAATATATGGTAACTTCAGAAATTGTTTGACATTGAAGACAGTTAAAGACAGTTTTGCAATAATTCTTGGATATATCACTTTAATCTGTTTTTTTTTTTAGATTCAAAGAAAGGTAGAACTGGTAATACACCAGGTACTGCAGGCACTAACAATGGCATGCCTGATCCAATTGGCGCTCCTCAGACATTGGCACGTCAGGGAACTGGAAATGATCAAATGATGGGTATGGGAGGTCCAGGTCCTAATCATCAGGGCATAATTTCTCAACCACCTGCAAACACTGCAACTAATCGTAAGTAATTAACACAAAGTTTACAATGTTGTTTAGATTATTTCTCTTGATTTGACAATTTTTCGATTTTTTAAACTGGTTACAACAGCCTCCTCCCTTGAGCTCCTATCAATCAACGATCTTACTGAAAGGATGAGCCATCTCCAGTGATATAGAATTAAACTGCAATATATATATAAATTTCTATACCCATAGAATTATATTTAGAATACGAAACATTAAAAGAAAATTGAAATTAAAATCACCAATAATTAGGCAATGTTTGTAATTATCAATTAGTTAACTAAAAACACTCAAATTTTGCTAAGATATTGGGATTATTTGGAAAGGTAAAAAAAATTAAACAAAAATAACTTTTTGAAAAAAATGTGACTTAAAAGCGAACAATTTCTTTAGAGAGAGATTCTATCTCTGAAGTGCTCAAATATATAATATATAAAATTGATTGTCATAGAAATTAATGTGTTTGCCAATTTGTATTTCGACAGTTTTAATTCAATAGCTTTGATAAGTTTAAAGTGTTGAAAAAAAAGAAACAGAAAGAGGAAAGAAAAGAAAGGCGCGCGTGTAACGCGCGCATATATATGCCCTATATAATAATATATAAAATATACATTTACATAACTCTTATAATATTCATTAAACTAATATTGCTAATTGCATTAAATAATGCTTTTGTTAAGATCATAATATATTCTGTAGTTTTTTTATAAATAAAATATAAATAAACAATTATAATCTGTTAAATAAAAAATAGTACTACCGTTACGTCTGTTTTACGGCTCCATGGGACACAAAAGGAGATAAAAACACACGTAACGTTACGGACGAAATACCTAGTAACTTTTGCGGACTTCTGGTGCGGATTACGGCCAAATACCCGTCGCGTCACGAATTAACCAATCAAGACATCCCATTTTATTGCATCATTTGCCGCGCGAATAAAATGGGATGTTTTGATTGGTTAATTCGTGACGCGACGGATGACGTCGACGCGTGACGCGCTCAGTGGGAATTCGGTCTACGGATTACGGGCTGTATGTGACGGCACCCTGACGGATCAAATTTCTCACCAGAATTCTAGTGAATTTTTGATCCTGCTGTTTCTTCCGATCGGAACGCATATTTCTGTCTGTTTAGAACATCCGGAACTGTCCGGAACGATCGATCGTTTGCATTTCCACAATCAAATTGTCACTTGCACCTTGTAAACGCCTCATTTCTTGTGTAAATATTGGCCGTATTATTAAATATTACCCAGTATTTTCGCTGCATTCTGATATTTTCTTGCTTTTGCAATAAAATATTATAACTTAAATACAACTTTCGCACTCTCTCAAATACCGATACAGCATACCAAGTTGGTAAATTTTTCGCTGTTTGCAGTATTTTTAATATGACTAATAAAACTGTTTTTTCATCCATCTCTATAAATTTAGGATATTTTTAGTCGCATTAAGGTTAAAACTGTCTGTTACAAAATATAGTTTACGTTTTTTCACCCGTGTTCGTTCCGTTCCGTAAAAAATTTCTCTACCAGTCTCCATGTAGCAAAAACGGAACAGAAATATAGTTACAAAATATATTTCACTTTAATAATTCAGTATTTTTAAGTACTCATAACAATGTAATTTGCAAGAAAATTGCAGAAATTATGTATATAATTGCTTCAAACACATTTAAATAACGAAATATTAACGCAATTAGGTACATTTACTTGCGATCGAGGCGACATTCCGTTCCGTTTTTGCTACATGGGACTGGTAGAGAAATTTTTTACGGAACGGAACGTGAACGGAACACTCAATTCTAGTGAGAAATCCGATCCGTGCATAATGGGACTGCACCCTTATAGTATACATAATGTAACAAAACAAAAAGAGCTAAAAGTTTTTTGTTCTGATTGGTCAAATTTAATCTTTAATGTGTAATCTGATCAGGCATAAAGGCTTAGAACATATATACTGGAAGGGGCATAGTCTATCTAATAGCGTTTTCGATTATACAGGATTTGAACGACCCAAGATTGGTTAATGACGTCATTGCAACCTCTCCACCAATGAAAGACTTGCATTTATAGTAAAATAGTGATTGATCAACCCTAGATCGTTCAAACCCCGTTTATTCGAAAACGCTATAAATATACATAACAAAAGTGTCCCCTACATCTATCTATCCTTGTCTGTACGAAATCGGTCAATGCGCTTGCGCGAATGAATAACCGTTTAAGTTGAAAGTAGAAAGATTTAAAATAGGTGGAAGGCATTTGAAAATTTGATTATAACAATTTATTCTTTAAGTTATATTATAATATAATTGCAATATATTATAAATTATATATAATAATATGTAGTAATATGTAATAATAGTCTTGCAAAATAAAATAAAAATAATGATGCACAACCAAAAACAAATACTGTAATGAACAATAATTATATACAGGATGTACAGGATGAACTAAAATAAGATAACAAACTTTGAGGAGCGAG